AGAAGTCAACTGCCGGTTAATAGACTTTTTTGCCGTATGAATATACGTTGCCCAGGGTGCACCACGTGGAGGTAATTCTATCGCACATCCCCAACTCATGAACATAAAAACCATCAATTCACCTCCCTTAAATTTTATTAAATTGAATAATTTTTAGGTATTTGGGAAAAGATTACCATTCAAGAACTTACCTTATTTAATTGAAATTATTATAATAATATAAACCATGAAAAATGTAAGTTTTTGGTGAAGTTGAACATTATATAAACAATCACTTTTAATTAACAAATTTATCACTGAAATATCCTTCATAAACATCCGAGTGAATTTTTGTTTGGAATTTTAATTTTTATTATTTTAATGAACAAACAAATAAAATGATTATGCATAGCTAATGGCATCTCTATCCGTAAAATAATTGACAAATGCTAGCGTATGTTAGATGTTATTTAAATTTATTATACAAGAGCACATCCTATAGTAAAGAATACTCTCTTTTTGGTTTATGAAAACAAAGAGATATTGACAGTTCCATGAAAATATCTTGTTTTTATTGAGGGTGAGGGGAGATGATATTAAAGGCATAAGAATTGATCCAATCAGTTCTTCGATTCCACTATAGGGAGACATATACGGTTCTCACTGCACTTCTTGAAATATAATTAAGGCAAACAGAGAGGTAATTTTAATTGGGTTGGTTTAAGTTAAAACATAATTCTATAAATGGGAAAAAATAATTATAAAAGTAATGAAATATCAAAAAAACTAAAATTTAGTTTTAGAACCATAAATTTAGGGTTTAGAATCATGGAAGGTGGGTAGGAGAAGCCCTATCTCCAGGCTTTCACGACAAATCAGGTTTCCTCACGAAGTACTTGGTCATTCCTAATGGAATTTCGCTGGGTGTAAGTGTGGAAATAAAGATGCGTTAATTTTTTGAGTGGGTCATTATAAGATATCTAACTTCAATATTTGCCAAGTTTTTTTCATATAAATGGTCACATTTATGACAGGCTATAGTACCCTTTTATTCAGTATCGTAAATCAAAAAGGGAAATTAATTTTAAAAAACAGCCGATTTTAACCAAATTGGGAGTATAGCAATTTCATCACAATATTCTCCGTCATCTAAAGTATTTGACTTAATTATTTTTAAAACTCAAATGTAATTAAGTGGTGTGTCTAATACAAACTAACCGAATACGCGAATCCTGAGTTGGCACCGGTGTGAGAATAGAGAGGGCTGTGACGTCATGAGCTGAAATAAAGCCACCACCAGCATTTCCGGAGGTTGCTGTTGAAGCAGAGGCACGAAGGGACTGGTAGTGAGGAGGTCGAAGATTTCGAGCTTTGTGAATGATGATCCTCAGTTGCTCGGAGTTTTCATCATAGGAGATGGTGAACCAAACGCGACCCAAGTGCTCCATTGGCACATCGTACAAGTCCTCATTCGTTTCACTCAAGTAGAGCTTGGGGTCAAGTTTACCCAGCTCTCGACTTTTCGCTGTTCAAAAAAATTATTAAAAATGAGCACTTCACTATTTATTTGGGTCATATCTACCAAGTATATTGCCTACTCTACCGTTAATAAAACATTAAATTTTGTAGAGAAAAAAATTTTATTCAAGAAGCTAATGGAAGCTTTCAAATCTCTGGTTGCCTAGATTTCAAAGCGCGAACTGCGCTTATGAAATACAACTCAAGGTTGCAAGATTATTGCCCATTTCACTTCAATAGTGTCATTTAGCCGTTATTGTATTTTAACTGTTGATTTAAATTCTTACAAAAAACATTGCATCTCGTTACAGAAATTTTAATTTCTTTAAAAAAAGCTATTTCATAAGCTTGGAGATTTTAATTTCTTCAAACCAATAGGCTTGGTCATATTATATGAAACAGAGAATTTCTGAACATTCTCATTTTGAAATAGGGAAGTAAGAGAAATATGTTAGAACAAAGCATGTATCTTACTTATATCATAATTATTTTTTTTAATTAACGTAGATAAATTAAAGCAAATTTATGCTTTACGTGAATCATATTCTGACCATTTATTTTGCATTTGGCAATGCACATATAAATTTTAATTTTCCGAGTTTAATCGATGAGGCATAAAATAAGAGCATTTATTTGAGTCGGTGACACGAATTTAGTATTGCTCCAAAATAAAATTTCTGCACTGGTATTTGCGGTTATATATATCTATATATTCTAGTGATTTAGCCAGTTTATTGAGATGGTACTGTATATTTTGTTTAAATCGGAGATATCTAACCGAATTAGCATTCCTAACAATATATATATATATATATTTTAATTGAACCATAAGCTTTAAAGAATGGTTATTGAAGATTGGTCAGTTAAGCTTCTGAGAATTATTGCGATTTAAATTGAAAAAAGAAACTCAGTTACAGCAGTGCGATTTTTTAAGTGAGATAAATAATGCTAAGAACTTCAAAAAAAACCGCGCCTTGACAAATTTTGATTAAATAATTATATATATATGTATCGGTATTAAAAATTAATGGGAGAATTGTTCTTTATACTTAGAATAAATAGACTTTACCAAAAACACTGGGTTTGTACTTGACTGGAGAACTCCAACTTGACGACCCGTCCATATCTTTACCCGAAGATGAGCTGTCAACAGTCGATTGACGTAAAAATGGTGGCCGCATTGCTAAAGACGTCTGTCCTTGAGCCAGAGGAAGCGGTAAAGATCGCCAACCTTCGGAAACGCGAGATCTTATCGTTTGAAGCATTCTACTCCAGGTGGGGGAATCGAATTCACTTTAAATAGCATTCCATTCTATTCGCATTACTCGATCATTTCAAACAAAGAGCCTTAAATAGGCAAATGCTATGCTTAAACGCACATGTGTGCTTTAAAGACTGAAAGAAGTTCCGACCAATGGGAGAATTTTGGAACTTAAGCAAAGGGATAGAGTATAATTTAATTGGTTGAAGCTTGAAATACGTATGGAGAGTGTATGAAAAGTGAACATACAAAAACTCGTTGTGTTTATTTCATTTTGACAAAAAAAATTTTTTATTTTTAAAATATTTTTTCATTGTATGACCATTTCCTTCGTTTGAACAATTCTTCTTTCAAGTCTCAAATTTTTCTTTAGCAGTTTAATTTTATTTTTCTAATGTGGTGCGCGATAGACTTACCTCCACGTGGTGTACCCCCGGCAACGTTTACTCATACGGCAAAAAAGTCTATTAATCGGCAGCTGACTTCTGACTTCAAACTGTCATCACCCCACTGTATGTCATATTTGACCCCTTCCACAGTTCTTACCTCAATAATTTTCTTCCTTTGTGTCTGTCTGCCTCTTTTACATCTCTGAATCACTCTTCTGTTACCCAGCCCTCCACTTTCTTCTACTTTGATGAACCTTCCCTCTGTGAAGCTCGAAGTCATCTAAATGGCTAATGATAGCTATCAAAACGCCTTCTATTTGAAATAAATATATTTTCCTAATGTGGTTATCAACGCTCTTGCATAAAATAAACATTCATGAAACACCATCCAGAAGACTGATTAATATCAATTTCCACCCCGTTCCAGTAGTCTTTCTACTAAAAGGCCATTTTTAAGTTTATGCTTCGGCAAATTTTACCCGGCCTCGAACTGAAAACTTGCGTTTGTATGAAATGAGGCATTTTTAAGCTTAAAACATGGATGAAATTTTTCCTATTTTGAGAAACCAGCCTGAAGATGATACCTGTAACTACAAATTGGTTAATATTTTTGTCAATTTCTAAGAACCTATGGTAACACGCTTGGCAAGTCGAAAGTAAGCTTTTATTTAAAATTTAAATGTACATGTTATAGCTTTGACACTTAATATAAAAATTTTGGGACACAACTAATACATTATTTTCAATGACAATTGATTTTTTGGTTTCGAAATAATAATTTCGGTGTCTTCTTAAATCTCTTAAGAATGTAATCCTAGTCAATTCTCTTGCTGAAAAGAGCAAAAGAATGTCATAAAGAGAGAAAAGGCTTGTTTTTACAAATCTGTTATTTTATATTTTATATTTCCGGTTCACTAATCGACCGCTTCCAATGAATGAATTCATCAGGATTTTGAGAATACTAAATACTTTATTTTACTATATAGCAGAAAACCGCTTTGAAACTGTTGTAGGGCAACAGTTTTTTTTTAAATCAAATTCACACTCAAAATGTCATGAATATTCTTGAGTAAAATTTCGTATTTTTTTGCAGTCTTATCTATATTTTCGTGGTACACAGGCTTTTCTTTACACATTTCTGACAACTTATTATTAAAATATAATTAAATAGAACAATCAAGAATATTTGTTGACACTTTCAATGTTTGCACTTAAATGCCTATTGTGAAATATCCACCAAATGATGCAACTGTCAAAATGATAATTTGTAATATTTTTAGTATTATATATTGATTAGTGATAATAGTTGCAAAAATAAGGTACTAGATTTGAAGGACGTTAAGGGCTGTTATACTAAACACTTCAAACTACCCCCACCCCACTGTATGTCATATTCGAATACTTCACAGTACTCACCTCACCTTTTTCCACTTTTGTGTTTGTCTCTTACATCTTTGAAATACACTTCTGTTTCCCCTCCCCACTCGACTTTTTCAATTTGATGTTCCTTCTCCCCTCTGTGAAGCCTGAAGTCAACTAAAGGGCTAATGATAACTATCAAAACGTCCGCCATTTGATATAAATAACTTCATTTTGTTCAAAACTTAAAATCAATAAAGGCTTAATTGCTACAAATATATCAATATATGTTCTCTCAACAGACCTTTTCATAATTTTCGTTTTTGTTTTTCAAAAAACTCAACTTTAAAAAGTGTCACCAAGAGTGAGTTTCAACGTTGAGTCCAATATGGCACTTGAAAGAGTTTCATCAAATAAGTGAAATTTCCCCGGAGATTTAGCTCTCTTGAGAAAAACAGGATCTACAAAAACTGATCACTATATGAATTAATTGTTTTAAAAAATGTTTATTTCGCATCTCCGAGGATCCCTAGAAGAGGCGGATATTTTCAACATTTTGACAATTAAAAGAGGTGAATTGACTAAATTTTAATGTCTAGTTCAAACCTGTGTGTATTTCTCTGTAGAAATCATTGAGGAGAACCAGATACCAATAATCAGTGAGAAAATAGCATATTTAAACGTGGACAAATGGTTATGACTTTTTACCTCAAACAAACCGTTGGATATAAGTTTGACGCAAGCAATTCACGACAACAGAAGGAAATTCAGCGCTCCTTTAAGATGCAAATGAAACTGCTACTTTATCAAGTAGACCGCGTTTTCTCTAAATGCCTTATATTTCCACGTGGTGCGCGCTGGGTAGCGTATACTCATACGGCAAAAAAGTCCATAAATCGGCAGTTGACTTCTGAGTTCAAATTACCACGACCCCACTGTGTTGCATATTCTACCACTTCCACAATACTCACCTCACCTTTGCTCTACCCTTGTGTCTGTCTGTCTCTTCTACATCTGTGAATCACTCTTCTATCCCTCCTCTCGAAATTTTCTAATGTTCCTCCTACCCTCTGTGAAGCCCGAAGTCAGCTAAAGAGCTAATGATAATTATTCAAAACGCCTGCCATTTGAAATAAATATTTGGAATTATGAGGGGGGGGGGGCATTAAATGTTTAATGCTGGCTGAACTTTGGGTTTATCAATTTAATATTTCTATAAATTTATTAAACTTCCATGGCAAAAGGGGAAACACCTGATGTGTAGTGATTATTTCTCTAATTTACACTTGTTCCATTAAAGACAATGTAAATTTATACGTCATCGTTTTCTCTAAATTTGAAGTTGTTTAATTCAAATGACTTAAGTAATGTTATAATTCGTTAATTAAATTAGAAAACCTGTAGTAAATAAACTGTAAAATTATATTATTTTTTAAAGCGTTTTCTAATTGTAAGGTTTTTTAATAAATCCGAATTAACGGTGATTTATTTTAAAGTTTTACATGCATATTTCTGCACAAACTCTTAAAATTCAATAATCCAAGATGGAATGCTGCATGGTTTGTTCTGCATGAATTCAATTAATTTAACTGAGGCAAATTGATGGAATTTGAG